GAGTGAGTGAGTGAGTGAGTGAGTGAGTGAGTGAGCGCGAGTGTGAGTGAGAGTGAGTGTGGGTGAGAGTGAGTGTGAGGGACAGTGAGAGTGACTATGAGCATGAGTGAGACTGAAGGTGGGTGAGTGAGTGTGAGAGTGAGTGTGAGAGTGAGTGAGAGTGAGAGTGAGAGTGAGCATGAGTGAGATGGGTGAGTGAGTGTGAGAGTGAGTGAGTGTGAGAGTGAGTGAGAGTGAGAGTGAGAGTGAGTGTGAGTGAGAGTGAGAGTGAGAAAGTGGGAGAGTGAGAGAGTGAGCATCTGACAGCACAAAGTACTACGCCTGCCACGAAATCTGCACTTCGAAGCTCACCAAGCGCTGTGCCTGCCACGAAATCTGCACTTCGAGGTTCACCATGCGCTGTGCCTGCCAAGAAATCTGCGCTTCGAGGTTCAGAAAGCGCTGTGCCTGCCACGAAATCTGCACTTCGAGGTTCGCCAAGCGCTGCGACTGCCACGAAATCTGCACTTCGAGGTTCACAAAGTGCTGCGCCTGCCACGAAATCTGTACCTGCCACGAAATCTGCGACTTCGAGGCTCACAAAGTGCTATACCCGTCACGAAATCTGCACTCTGAGGCTCACCAAGTGCTGCGCCTGCCACGAAATCTGCACTTCGAGGTTCACCAAGCGCTGCGCCTGCAACGAAATCTGCGCATCGAGGGTCACCGATTGCTGTACCTGCCACGAAATCTGCACTTCGAGGTTCACCAAGCGCTGCGCCTGCCACGAAATCTGCACTTCGAGGTTCACAAAGTGCTGTACCTGTCACGAAATCTGCACTCTGAGGCTCACCAAGTGCTGCGCCTGCCACGAAATCTGCACTTCGAGGTTCACAAAGTGCTGTACCTGTTCACCAAGTGCTGCGCCTGCCACGAAATCTGCACTTCGAGGTTCACCAAGCGCTGCGCCTGCCACGAAATCTGCGCGTCGAGGGTCACAGATTGCCGTACCTGCCACGAAATCTGCACTTCGAGGTTCACCAAGTGCTGCGCCTGCCACGAAATTCACAAAGCTCTGTACCTGTCGCGAATTCTGCCCGTCCAGGTTCACGAAGTGCTGCGCCTGCCACGAAATCTGCACTTCGAGGTTCACCAAGCGCTGCACCTGCCACGAAATCTGCACTTCGAGGTTCACCAAGCGCTGCCCCTGCCACGAAATCTGCACTTCAAGGTTTGCCAAGTGCTGTGCCTGCCACGAAATCTGTACTTCGAGGTTCACCAAATGCTGTGCCTGCCACGAAATCTGCCAACGAGCCACATGTCCAAAAGTCACGACTCACTGCACCTGTCACGAAATCTGAGCTCCTCGACGATCACCACCATGTCCAAAGTGCTGCACCGCAGCCGACCACAGCCGACCACAGCCGACAAGGCAACCACCAGACCCTCTAACGGAGCCAGATCTTTTGCAATTCCCAATAAGACAGCGCCTGCCACGAAAACCGCATTTCGAAGTAATTCACCTCCGATCCCTTGCACATGTCACGAAAAGTCGACTTCGGAGCACCAAACCACGAGGTTTCCCCTGCGCCTGCCACGAAAACTGACCGCCGTGTACCAAAATGCGCACGGCGCCACAACGAGAGCGCGGTCGGTGGAAGCACCTGCCGCCGGCCCCCAGATTCTGCGAGCCTGCGCAGTGGAAGTGCACATGGACGATGTCGAGAGGCATGAATGTACTGTAAATAGCAACGAATTAGCCGTTCACGGCCGCGCGCCTCAGCGATCTAAGCCCCAGCTGCTTTTCTATTACCGTAAGAACCCCTAGTGTGTCCACACTGTTTGGAGAAAAAAGTGGTTATAAGTATGAAGACTTCTTTTACCTGTCTCTGAGAGCTACTGGCGCGGCCGGTTGTCGTCGCAAGCGGCCCGAATAATTCCACCGCCCTCCGGTAATTGGGGCCTCGTGTTTTCACTTTCCCTCAAAGCGGTTGCGCCTTCATTTTGTAAAAGCAATGCGCTTGCGCTAGTGGTAGTGGCACCAGTGCAAGTGGTAGTAGTACTGGTGCTAGGGGTAGCCGTGCTAGTGCCAGTGGTAGTAGTTCTTCTGCTTTAGTGGTGGTAGTAGAACTACCGCTAGCGGTAGTAAACCTTTTACTGGGAACCTCCACCACATCCTAAAAACAAAAACTGGAGCCCCGTCGTTGTTTTTTTGGACCTTCCCCCCTCAAAAGGTGTTGTTGTCCCTAGCCCCGTTGTTGTTTTTTGGGCCCCCCTCCAGAACAATACCTCAAAAACGCAAAAAAACGGACCAGCCCAGACTCCAGTGAATCCAAACAAAACCCGCTACTTAAGAAACCAACATTCCCTCAAGCCTTCAACCTAACCTTGCCCCCTTGAAGTTCCAGAGTTGTAACATGCGACAACTATGTTGGGCGGCTGTGTTCCCTTCTAACAACAACAACAACAACAACAACAACAACAGCAGCAGCAGCAACAACAGCAACAACAACAACAACAACGCAAAACTGCAGCCCCGTTACAACATATTATCTTCTTCCTTTGTCTCTACGAGGGGGCGGAAACAAAAACTGCAGCCCCGTTGTTGTTTTTGGACACCCCCCTCAAAAGGTGTTGTTGTCCCTACCCCCTCCTAGAAACAAAGACTGCAGCCCCGTTGTCGTTTTTTGGGCCCCTCCTCCAGAACAACACCTCAAAAACACTAAAAATGAACCAGCCCAGACTTCAGTGAAACAAGTCCAACAAGTCCACCTACTTACGAAACCAACATTGCCTCAAACCTTCAACCGTATCCCTGACCGTGCCCCCTTGAAGTAACAACATGTGACAATTATGTTGGGCGACTGCTTTTGTTTCTACCACCAACACCACCACCACCACCAACAACAACAACAACAACCACCACAACCGCAACCAAACAACAAACAGCAAACAACAACAACAACAACAACCACAACAACCAGCAACCAGCAACCAACAACAACAACAACCAACAACAACAACAACAACAACAACAACAACAACAACAACAACAACCAAACAACAACAGCAACCCAACAACAACAACAACCACAACAACAACCGCAACAACAACAACCAAAACCAACAACAACAACAACAACAACAACAACAACCACCACCACCACCACCACCAACAACCAACAACCAAAACCCAACAACCAAAACCCAACAACCAATAACCAACAACAACAACAACAACAACACCACCGCCACCAACAACAACAACAACAACAACAACAACAAGGAAGCGACTATTGCTGGCGCCCCGTGCCCATGCTCATTCTCTACTTGATTCAAGAGACGTTTACACACGACCCCTTGTTGATCCAGACCCCCCCCTCAGCCAACACAACTACCAACGGGACTACCAACGGGTCGTCTGTAAAGGCCTCTTCTAGGACGGGATGAACATACATCAACCGAACAAACGTTAAGTCACATCATCCTCTCCCTTCAGGCAGCCAAGCTTGGATCATATTTTTCACACATTCAAGCTGCAGTCTTCGGGATCAACACATCATAGTGGCAGCCTTCAAGAAAACAGGTGGATAAGTCTAAGTTCTCCAACCAGCACATACAATTCCCATGATCATGCTTGATGTTTGTTGAAGTCCAACAGGTCGATTCGTCTAAGTTCTCGAAGAAGCAACCCTACAACGGGTCGTTGGTGCTAGTCTCTTGAAAAGAGAGAAGGGGACAACCTTTCTTACCGTATCATGCACTTTGCCGCTTATTACTTCAAGAGTCTAACACAAACGACCCGCGGTGGGCAGTGGTACCCCAGTACAATACGTTGCGCTTCCCATGATCATGCTTTATGTTTCTTGAAATCGAACAGGTGGATAAGTTTATTGAGTGTGATAGCTTCCTTACCTTTTTTCCACAAACAACCATCGCCCAACGGGTCGTTCATGTTTTTCACTTCCTGTGGCCATCTGCATCATACCACAGGGCGTTTGTCTTTGTCTCTACCAACAACAACAACAACAACAACAACTTTTTTCTTCCCACGCGCTCGATTCGATTCGAGTTGCGCCGTCTTAGACATAGTGAAAATTCTGGACTCTCGTGAGTCTAGCAGCCGCGCCAACTGCTTGCCACCCTGCGGCAATGAACTGAACTCAGGCCGTCACCAGCAGACCACCCTCCGCAAGGGTCAAAGTCATGAACAAAGACTTCCAAGAGGCTTGGGCCAGCGCTGGTCAGGCTCTCACATTGTCCAGCCGCATCGCCAGCCAGCGGGAAGGCAGCTGCAGGCCGCCGAGGTCCGCGCCCAGCCGTCAGCCAGCTGCAAGGCAGCTGCAGACCGCAGTAGCAAGGGGCGCTGCGGACGGCGCAGCTGCCACCACCACTTCGTCAACTTGAGAGTGGGCCTCTTGAATTCGGGCCAAGAGGCTTTCCAGCGTCCCTGGGTCTTCGGACACTAGTTCTGTTCCCCAAGTCTCTGGATCGGAGCTGTGCTGCGTGGTGGCTTTATGATGGAGCGGCGGGCGTGGGCCGGATTCAGTGTTGGCCCCTGGACACAGGACACAAATATATCTGATGCATCTGTTTTCAAGCCCCTGGGACGCCAGAAATGCTGGGCAGACCGGGGTGCATCATCGACATCCTGTCCTACGCTGGCGCTTTTGGCAGAGCTTGGGCACACATGCTAGGGTAGTCCTGTGAAAGGTCCCTCGGTGCGATGTCAACAGCGGAGCATCCCATAGCGGCGTCAAGAAGCGCCACGGGAGGTGTCCACCGAGTCACCTCCGCAGGTGGAATGCCCAATGTCAGTGGCAGCAGGCAGTTCACACTTTGGGATGGCCCAAATCAAAACACCTCGCGAGGTCATCCAAGAGGGCAAGGGTATAGGCTTCAAACCAATCGTTGGCAGTGCGCCATGTCCCGGACCCCGGCCCGGAAATGTCCATTCACGGGCGCCATGTGAGGGCGGCGCGCGACCTCCAAACCCTGCCGGTGAAGCAGGGCACCAGCACCTCTGTGGACAAAGTGACCTAGAACACAGGTAGCGCCAATTACCTATCTACGTACCAGCATTTGGGTCCATGAGGACGCAGACGTCACGCGTGTACTTGTCTTGATCCAGCTCATATGCATGGTCCAGAGTGATCGGTTGGTGCTGGTGACCCTGATCATACAGCTCGATCCCTGCGTCAGTGCTGCATTGCCGTGCCCACGCCGTAGAAATTGACGGGGAGCTCAACCACTGCAAGGATTGGTTGGTGAACTCGCAAATTGTCTTGAGGTCCCAATTTCTTCAAGGCGTCTGCGCCAAAGAGATGCTGGCCGAAGTCTCCATGTCTGTGAAAAAGCGGCCCAAAGCGAGAATCTGCCCCCCCAGATCCTCGAGACAAAAAGTGCCCCTCTGAAACAAAGCCCAAATTAAGCTCACGGAACCGGCGTTGGCGTAGCACCAATCGCCAGAGTTCTCCAACTGCAAAGTCCGGAGAAGCCCAATCCGATGAAGCCTCAGCTGCTGAAGTGGATCCAGGAGCGACGTCTCTGTTGAGTCAAACTCGAGAGCGCTGGTCCCGCGCTCCCTCATCCTGGCAAAGGCTCTTCAGAAAGATCGCCAGCACGTTGTTTCTGACCGAGACCTGCAGCATCCATGGTACCACTTCTGACTGAGATTCCTTGGTGGCTGAGGCGTGAAATCTGATAGGCAATTGGTCGCCTCGGTCGGACTCAGAGGTGGTTGCTGGTCCACCTCTGCTTGCCGAGTGGTGGGATTCCATCGCAAGTAGCGGTGATCACTTTCGTGGCAAGCGCCTGCTTCCGGATCTGCTCGTCGTTCACCTGTTCCATGAACTTGGCGTAGCGTTGTTGAAGCTCCTCCAAAAGAGTTTAGATCAACCAGCAGCGAAGAGGCATCGCGAGTTGCTGCGGCGACGTCTCGTTCCACTGCCGAGCTTGGCGCAACAGAAGGGGATGGCTCCTTGTTCTCCCCGAGCGCAAAAGATGAGAAACTGATCTTGCGTAGCAGCCGCCTTCAACAAGTCCTCGTGGCGGATCAGGAGTGTGGGCATCAACTGCACCAGCTTCTCCATATTGACTGAAAAAGTTCTGTGGAGAGGCAACCTGTCTTTGACGTCGGTCCAGGTGGCGTTTTGTGACTCTAAGCATACCTAAGAATGCTTCCGTTGTCTCGTCCACGCGATGCCCGGCGCGGATCACTGAGTCCGGATGATCCATCAGAGGCAACAGGTTGGGTGAACGCCAAGGCTCCTGTCAAGTTCAGGAGGGTGCTACATTGGTGCTTCTTGAATGCCCAACATGTGGAGTCTTCTTTGCGATAATCAGTCTGTGGCTTGAAACACAATGCGCATGGCATGGTAGCGGAGCTTTGAGTTGAGCCCAGATGTGACTGGCAAGGTACATCGACAAGGCCGGCTACGCACACTGTTCTCCATGTTGTTGTACAAGATGCTGAAACAGGTCACGTGACTGTGCAAAAGTGCGAGCGCAAAGAAGGCAACCTTTGCGGGCTTCACTTGGCTGACCCTGGAAGAGGCTGGCAAGCCAGGAGATCACCGTGGGCTCCTGGGAGTGCAAAGTGGAGCGCAACCTCACAAGTGCAGTGATCTGAGCAAGACCAGGCTTCCATGCAAAAAGCCTGCCCACTTCCGGGTTGCGCGGGTGGTGAAGCATGGAGATCTGCCGATATGGGACACTTATAGGGATGCTAGCGGGGGATCTGTAGTAAGTCGGCGGGCGGCCATGTAGGGACGTAGGGCACCCGGGCAGCATCCTGTGCAAGAAGCTGCAGGCAGCAATTGCATGGGAGGCCGACCGCCCTGACAGAGCCAACTCCCTGTTAAAGGTCGGGAGAGCTGTCCAACACTGGAACAATCGCGGTTGGCTGGCATGTGAGTCAGATGGTTCTCGTGGTTGTTGTTGCTGTTGCACTGTTGCACTGTTGCACTGCTGCCCTGCTGCCCTGTTGCGCTGTTGTTGCTGCTGCCGCTGTTGTTGCTGTTGTTGCTGTTGCTGCTGTTGCTGCTGTTGCTGCTGCTGGTGGTGGTGGTGTTGCTGCTGCTGCTGCTCCTGCTGCTGCTGGTGTTGGTTTTTGATGGTTTTTGTGTTGTTGCTGTTGCTGTTGCTGTTGCTGTTGCGGTTGCGGTTGCTGCTGCTGCTGCTGCTGCTGCTGCTGGTGTTGGTGTTGGTTTTGTTTTTTGTGTTGTTGCTGTTGCTGTTGCTGTTGCTGTTGCCGTTGCCGTTGCCGTTGCCGTTGCCGCTGCCGCTGCCGCTGCCGCTGCCGCTGCCGCTGCCGCTGCCGCTGC